ATATATATATATATATATATATATATGCATGTATGTATATGTATATAAATAATGCAAGATTATTGGAATAAAAATTTTGCGCAAGTATAAATAAAGTGAACAAAGCTGGTTGTAAAAAACAATTATTTACCTGTCAAATAGTTAAAAACATTTGTAGTCATACAAGCTCCATATTTACAATCCAGTATACTTAAAGATTTTGTCAGATCAATTACAGTATTACAGTTAATTAATTACATTAGCAGGTTAGTGTCACAACACAGCTGACCTCAGACTCCTCTTTAGCATTGCCTTCTCTCTTACACACTTTTATTAAGTAGTTCTTCCTTTTTTTTTTTTTTTTAAGTTGATCATTTGGAGTATAGAATGAAATTGAAAAAGTATGACCTGGTTTGTTTTCTTGCTCGTTTGCAGGCAGTTGTGTGAAGTGCAGCAAGGCTGTGTATGGAGCGAGTCAGGCGTGTCAGGCCATGGGCAGCCTGTACCATGACAGCTGCTTCACCTGCAGCGCTTGCAGTAAGTACCTCATTCAAACTCACCCTCAGTTAGGTTACATCTCACACATGCTCCTCGTTCCGGTTATATCTTTATAATATGCCTTCATCTTGGTTATATCACCGTATTTACAGTGGGCTAGGCGAAATACTGAATGCGCTTGATAAATTAAAGACGATTTGCCCGCAGTTTACTTGTAAGGCAGAAATGTTTTGAAAGGTCTTTGATTTGGTCTTTTCTGCTCACCAAGGCTGCATTTAATTGGTCAAAAATACAGTAAAAACAGTAATATTGTGAAATATTATTGCTATTTAAAAAAGCTTTTTTAAAAGCTGAATTTTCAGCATCATTACTCCAGTCTTCAGTGTCACATGATTCTTCAGAAATCATTCTAATATGCTGATTTGCTGCTCAAGAAACATTTTGAAAATAGTTGTGCTGCTGAATATTTTTGTGGAAATATTTCCAAAGAACTGTATGTTGTTCATTACTATGTATTGTGTTCTTTTCTAAACATCTATTCATACTTGGTAACAATGTTTGTTTTTTTAAATTTTGGTTCTTCTGATGGTTGATTTAAACCATCACAAAGCTTATCAGTTAAGATATAATCTATTAGCTCTATTGTCTATTCCTAATATACACTCACTTTGTTTCAGGTGTTATGATGGAATTATTTGTCCATGTTTGTTGCTAGTATGTATGTGCACAGATTTATGTTTGACGGTCATATTTGAGTCTTGAGGAAGCTGTAGGTCTGGTCTGTGTTAGATGTCAGGCTTCGTCTCAGTTTGTCTGTGTTTTGTAAATGATTTTGTGTTTTTAGCTTGTGGTTCGGGCGTATATGTGTGTGTTCAGAGCATATAGGCTGACAGGAAACAGCATCGCTCTGAGTAAGCTAAACTAAACAGTGCTCATGCTCTGCGGTGAAGTTCAGATAAACCTTCATTCCATGCATTCATCCAGTCTTGTTTCCTCGCACTTTATTTAGCTCTGCTCTGGCCCCTGGGACTGGCAGCTATTTGAAGGAAAATGAGCATTCCTGAGCTTCTCCTCTGCATGACTGCCTCTGACCCACAGCGTCGCTCTCCGCAACGGCTCTTTAGTTCTCTGTGTGTGTCCGGAGTCTTGTTATGAGCGCAGTAAACGTGTCCGCGTGTACCTCCACCTGTTTACACAGATTACGAGACTAAAGATAGTGAGAATGCACAGCGCATAGTTGTGCAGGAGAGAGCGGTTCCCCGCTGGAGAGGAATGCGGGCATGGATTTCTTTTTTTCCCACTGTGTGACTACCTGGTACTTACAAAGCAAAGTATTTGTAATGATTACAAATATCAAATGATCAATTTTATATCAAATTTATTTGTGCATTTTTATTAAATTATATAAGCCGGCGACTTTTTAAAATAATTACAAATTAATAATAAGTCAAAACAATTGTTAAAAATTTAACCAACTAAAAATAGCTTCAGAAAATACAAGTCAAGTCAAGCCACCTTTATTTATATAGCGCTTTTAACAATACAGATTGTGTCAAAGCAACTGTACAGCATTAATTAGGAAAATAGTGTGTCAATAATGCAAAAGGACAATAGGAAACACTCAATTTTCAGTTAAAGGCAGGGTGCGAACTACGGGGGATACGCAGAGTACGCAGTTTGCGTAGGGCACCAACTCCCCGGGGGGCACCATACCAGTTGCTCAAAAAAACTTAAGTTCTATATTAATATTAAAATTAATTAAATGAAACTTTTTTGGATGTTGACGTTAATAACGTGTTTAATGTCGGTGTCGGTGATAATTTAGCCACCAACAACGCATCTAATATTCTCTCTGACATTCCATGTTCCCTTACAAAAATTAGCCATGGTTTTACGAATAAAACCAAAAATCATGGTTCTTGTAGCCATGGATGGTAACCACAAATTAACCATGGTTTTGTTAATTCAAATACACTGAAAAAATGATTAATTGAATTTACTAATTTTTTTAAGGTAAGTGGTTGCAATCAATTTATTTTAGCTACATATAAATAAACATTTTGTTGACTAACTTTCAACATATTTATTTTAATTAAATGTAGCTAAAATAAATTGTTTGCAACCATTTACCTTAAAAAATTAGTATCATTTTTTTTCAGTGTAATAGTTTACAAAGAAGTATAAAGATAATATTTTTGTGGTTATAAAATCAGACCTACGCCAACAACAGCCTTTAAAATTACTTAATGCATTATATAAAACAATGAGGCAATAATGATTGGTTAATTATTAAGTGGTTTCATTGAATAACACTGTTAAAATACATAATGTAATACAAAGTAAACAATTTTTGCCTTTGGCAAAGGGAGCCAAAGGCCTGGTAACTGCTGCTGGTGCACTTACAAGGACGATCAAGTCCTTTAATATTGACCAAACATTTAATTCAAATATCCACTTAATGTTTAATTTTTGGCCACCATTTTGCAACCCCTATAGTAGGTTTTTTTTTTTTTTTTTGACATCCATAATATTTGGGGGAGGGGAGCACAACAATACAATTCTGCTTAGGGCACCCATTTGTCCTCTGTAGGTTACTTAAATATAAAGTAAGAAAGAGGGGAAAAGAAACACATTACCAGTGATAAACAAAAAATACTTTCAGTATCTCAGAGTGCTTGAAGTATCCGAAAGTTTACAGACGATCACAGTTATGGGTTTTTCTTTTTTTCTCAGCATTATTACTGTTTGATTATTCCTGATGACATCATAGACAGCGGCAGCTTTAATAGGCTGCATTCACACTAATGCACAGATCTATTTCAACATATCAGATGTTTTGTCCTGTCCTTAAGACATAACTGACTGTTTACATTAATTTCTTATCATAAAATATTTGGAGATACGAGTGCATTTAATCTCTCACACGGAGTTGCGCACAGCGACAAGCGCTCTTCAGAACGAACACATGCAAAGCGCACTTGAGCGTCTCTCAGTGCATGAGTTTCGTGTATCCAATGTGTACTGTGTAGAGGTCTGCACGGGCTTTCAACTGAAGCCCGAACCTGACCCGTACCCGAGATCTTCTGACCCGGCCCGACCCGAGCAGCACAGTTAAATTTAGAGCCCGAACCCGACCCGAACCCAAATTTTTTTATTTATTTTTTCCCACAACGAATAGCCAATTAAAAAAAAAAATGCTGTATTTCACGATTGCATGCAACGGTCAGTAGGAAAGGGTAGTAGAAACAGAATCATTAAGGTTCGGCCAGTTCACAAGGCAAAAGAAAAAACACTTACCAGTTATGAAAGTTTATGAACATAAGGTGCAGCGGTCACATAAATTCTGCCGAGTTTTTGAATGGTTGTATAGCCTACGACAAGACGATAATTCTTCCATCTTGCAAATTATGGTCATTTTCGTCAGTTAAGGCTCGTTAACATTCGGCCTGCTTTAAATCAGACACAGAGATGCAGTGCGGTAAGATCACATTTATTTGAATTAATTAATTATATAACTTATTTGAATTGGCGAGAGAGAGAGTGATGAAAGTTGTGTGTGTGAACCTGCCTCTGCGCGTCTCTCTCTAGTCTACAAGCAATGAGGCTTAGGTACTTCAAAAACAGCGATTTTACCCCCTCATTGCAGAGAAATATAAAGTTGCGAGTCCGTAGCCTGTCAAAGCTATTTTACTAATAAAAGTTTCCGTGCTGTGTTGTCGTTGTCGTGTGCACTAATGTGTGTGCGTGCGTCTATGAAAGCAGCGTAGCCTACTGCATATAGTTTTAGTTTAGCTATAAACCCGAGCCCGACCCAAACCCGAAGCTATTCATAAACATTAACCCGAACCCAACCCGAAAGTATTTCGGGACCCGTCGGGTAGCATACCTCTAGTACTGTGTTCCAAACAGCATAGATAATGCCTTCGTCGAGCTTATCTAACATAAAACACTGAAGAAAACACACACTGTCAAGCAATGCACATGTTTCTCACAGGTATATCCTGTGCAGTGAAGCCCACAATTGTCTCTAGCGCACATTTTACATACGAAAAAAAAAAACAAAGCTCAGAATCGTTGAACAGAGAATCGCGATCCATCGGAGAGTCGATTTTTTTTTTCTCCCACCCCTAATAGATATCATAAAATTGTCATATATAGATACTGTTTTTTCCAGAAAATAAGTCGCACCAGGTCAAAATTGCATTGTGGAGAGAAAAAAAGATACACAGATATGCCACACTGGAGTCATTTAATTTTTTTCTTTAAAAAAATAATGAAAAATAACATTATAAAACAAAGTGTTTACAAACATTATAAACGTGTATTTTAGTTCCCCTTACTCTACAACAAATCCTTTAAATGTAATGGTATTCAGAAGAGACCGAAATAATTTTAAAACAAACATAAATTAGAGTGGCATTCATTAAAATAACATTTATTATAAACGCCAAGCTTAAACAAATATATTTAAAGCAAAAAATGTGCCTCTCTTTCGGGACAAATTTAAATGTGTGCGCTTTGCACATGTTGCATGCTTGACTTTAACTGCACTGTATAAGCTGCTTTGGAATATTAAGTAGCAGAACATTTCAGATGATTAAACAATGCAACTTAAGTTCCAGAAAATACAGTAAATAGACACCGAAATGGCTAAATGTTGGCCTGTAATTTGGCCATAGTTTTTGTTTGTTTTAGCCATCAGACATTGTAGACTCTAGGGGTGTTTCAATTACAGATTTGCGCAAAACTTTAGCGATATTTTATAAATGTTGATAAAAAAAAAGTATTGCGAAATGACGGCGTTTCCATTAACCAATGTTATCCAACTAAAACATAACCTTTTGCTTCTCGCGATAAGTCTTGGCAACGGATTTTGGTGGGATTTTGATGGACTTTGGCTATATTTATTCAAAGGAGGCGTATGCGTGTATCTTTACAGAAGCAGCACAGAGAGCCAGCCGCTTCAGAAACGTGCATGACGCGGCTGGATTCTAGAATAAACACAAGCATTGTGGCCGCAATCAGCTTCAGTGGCCGTA